ATGTCACTTGTGACATCATTGCTTACTACGTGTGAAATCTGTGAATGATCACAGAGGTCACATGGTACAAGGCTATTCACAACAGCCTTGTACCATGTGACAAGCTGTGACCAATCACCGCTCACTCAGTACTTCTCAATGACTGCAAGAATGCAGACAGAGAGAAAGAGAAATGATTGCTTTTACATCCTATAGGGTGTAAAAGCAATCGGTGTAAAAAAAAAAAAAAAAATCTTCACCCCCCACAAGTAGTACAGTGTCACCATGGTGACACTGTCACTGTACTGTTAGGGTAACAGTATATAAAAAAAATATAAAAATGTAAAAAAAAAATGTTTAAAATTATAATTTTTGGTTATAAACTAATTTGGATTTTTTTTTTTTTTTTACTAAAAAATAACAGAATAAATATTGGCCAAGATTTATGATGAAATATTTATTTGCAAAATTTTATTTAAAAAAAACACTCTTCAAAATTTTGGGACTATTTCATTTTACATAGCAAAAAAAGTAAAAATCCCAGCGGTGAATAAATACCACCAAAATAAAGCTTTATCTGTCTCAAAAAAATGGTAAAAAATTCATATGGGTACAGTATTGCATGACCGCGCAATTGTCATTCAAAGTGTGATAGCGCTGAAAGCTGAAAATTGCCCTGGACAGGAAGGGAGTAAAAGTGTCCAGACAGGAAGTGGTTTTAAAACAGGTATGGGCTCCAGAGAGAGAGAGATATCATATTACCCCTGTACAAATCATTAGTAAAACCTCATCTGGAATATGCAGTTCAGTTTTGGGCACCAATTCACAAAAAGAACATTGGGGAACTGGAGAAAGTACAGAGAAGGGCAACCAAACTGATAAGAGGCATGGAGGAGCTCAGCTATGAGGAAAGATGAGAGGAACTGAATTTATTCTCTCTTGAGAAGAGGAGATTAAGGGGGGATATGATCAACATGTATAAATACATCAGTGGTTCATATAGTGAACTCGGTGTAGAGTTATTCACCCTGAGGTCATAACAGAGGACAAGGGGGCACTCTTTATATCTGAAGGAAAATAAATGTAATCTCCAAACATGGAAAGGTTTCTTCACAGTAAGAGCTGTGATAATGTGGAATAGACTCCCTCAAGAGTTGGTTCTGGCCAGCTCAGTGGATTGCTTTATAAAAGGCCTGGATTGTTTCCTAGATACACAGAATATAACTGGATACTAACATTTATTGGTAAAGTTGATCCAGGGAATATCCGATTGTCTCAGTTAATCAGGAAGGAATTTTTTTTCCCCTGCAGGAGCAAATTGGATCATACTTTGCTGGGTTTTTTTTCCTTCCTCTGGTTCAACTGTGGGTATAGGATTATAACTTTTCTATTAATTTATTTTAATGGTTGAACTGGATGGACTTTTGTCTTTTTTCAGCCAGACTAACTACTTAACCCTGTGACAAAATATCTATGTAATCTCTCATAAAATGTTAGTTGCAGAGAGATGGAAATACTTCCTTCTGATTGGACACACTGTAGGTTCCATGTAAAACTGTATTTGTAGCTTTTAGAATACCAAAGAAACACACAAACCGGTTATATGGCTCCTGATTGTGACAGCTGTCAGCAATGATTGATAATGTCAAGATCGGACTGACCCGCTGGTGTCAGAAATCCTATCCCTGACCTAGTGATCCAAACCGTTTATGGCCCATTCGAGATTGGGCACTTCAGAACACAGAACGTCCTGTGGGCTGGTACAGGAACACCCCCCAGGGTTGAATGGCCAGGGCTAAAGTCCAGCTCACATCCAAATTTCAATACATTTCGGTCCCTGAGATATGGACAGCGTGACTTTTACGGAGCCAATTCCATATGACTAGTGAATCGCAAAGTTTTTGTCTTGCTCCAGTCAGTGGTGTATTTTGGTTTTGTGCTGCCCTAGGCAAGACTAAAATCGGGCACACCCCCCGCATCTAAATTTGTCTCACCCTTTCACCTGCAAACTCCACCCCTTCCTCTTTAGGCCCCACCTCTTCCTGTTAGAGCTCCGCCCACTGACAACGATGGACCGCTATTCCTCCCACTGACACCAATGATTGTGCCCCATTATTAGTGTCAGTGTGTGAGGAATAGTGCCCCATCATTAGTGTCAGTGGGAGGAATTGGTGCCCCATCATTAGTGTGTGGGGGAGGAATAGTGCCCCATCATTGGTGTCAGTGGGAGGAATAGTGCCCCATCATTGGTGTCAGTGGGGTGGAGGAATAGTGCCCCATCATTGGTGTCAGTGGGAGGAATAGTGCCCCATCATTGGTATCAGTGGGAGGAATAGTGTCCCATCATTGGTGTCAGTGGGGGGAGGAATAGTGCCCCATCATTGGTGTCAGTGGGGGGAGGAATAGTGCCCCATCATTGGTGTCAGTGGGGGGAGGAATAGTGCCCCATCATTGGTGTCAGTGGGGGGAGGAATAGTGCCCCATCATTGGTGTCAGTGGGGGGAGGAATAGTGCCCCGTCGTTGGTGTCAGTAGGGGGAGGAATAGTGTCCGTCGTTGGTGTCAGTAGGGGGAGGAATAGTGTCCCATCATTGGTGTCAGTGGGGGGAGGAATAGTGCCCCGTCGTTGGTGTCAGTGGGGGGAGGAATAGTGCCCCGTCGTTGGTGTCAGTAGGGGGAGGAGTAGTGTCCCATCATTGGTGTCAGTGGGGGGAGGAATAGTGCCCCGTCGTTGGTGTCAGTAGGGGGAGGAATAGTGTCCCCAGTAGGGGGGAGGAATAGTGTCCGTCGTTGGTGTCAGTGGGGGGAGGAATAGTGCCCCGTCGGTCGTCAGTGGGGGGGGGAATAGTGCCCCGTCGTTTGTGTCAGGGGGGAGGAATAGTGCCCCGTCGTCGGTGTCAGTGGGGGGAGGAATAGTGCCCCGTCGTTGGTGTCAGTGGGGGGAGGAATAGTGCCCCGTCGTTGGTGTCAGTGGGGGGAGGAATAGTGCCCCGTCGGTGTCAGTGGGGGGAGGAATAGTGCCCCGTCGTTGGTGTCAGTGGGGGGAGGAATAGTGCCCCGTCGTTGGTGTCAGTGGGGGGAGGAATAGTGCCCCGTCGTTGGTGTCAGTGGGGGGAGGAATAGTGCCCCGTCGTTGGTGTCAGTGGGGGGAGGAATAGTGCCCCGTCGTTGGTGTCAGTGGGGGGAGGAATAGTGCCCCGTCGTTGGTGTCAGTGGGGGGAGGAATAGTGCCCCGTCGTTGGTGTCAGTGGGGGGAGGAATAGTGCCCCGTCGTTGGTGTCAGTGGGGGGAGGAATCGTGCCCCGTCGTTGGTGTCAGTGGGGGGAGGAATAGTGCCCCGTCGTTGGTGTCAGTGGGGGAGGAATAGTGCCCCGTCGTTGGTGTCAGTGGGGGGAGGAATAGTGCCCCGTCGTTGGTGTCAGTGGGGGAGGAATAGTGCCCCGTCGTTGGTGTCAGTGGGGGGAGGAATCGTCGTTGGTGTCAGTGGGGGGGATAGTGTCCAGTCAGTGGGGGAAGGAATATTGCCCCATCGTTGGTGTCAGTGGGAGGAATAATGCCCCATCATTAGTATATAAGTGACACCAATGAAAGGGCACTATTCCTCCCAATGACACTTGCTGACCCCTGCGCCAGCCTAGGTGCTGCTGCAGCCAGCATACCTGGTTGCAGCAGCACCATCAACACGGCACACTTACCGGGCGGTTAGCTGTCCTGTTTCATTCACTCCGGCCTCTCCCTCACTCAATGTTCGTGGGGCCGCTCGGCTCCGCCTCCTCGCAGGTGATTGGCCGCCTGTGTGCCTTTCCTGAGCTACAGTTCTGGCGCTCAATCACCGGTGAGGAGGCGGAGCTGAGCGGCAGCACAAACATCAAGTGAGGGAGTGGCCGGAGAGAATGAAGGAGCAGCACTTCCTGACTGGATCGTCGTGGGTCTGGGACCGGAGCCAGGTAAGACACAGCAGCCCCCTGCCCCCCCCTGTACTTAGTGCCCCTTCTGTTGGAAGTAGGGGGGGCAGCACCGCGCCGCCCCCCCTAAAAAGTGCCGCCCTAGGCAAACGCCTTGTTTGCCTCGTGGCAAATACGCCCCTGGCTCTAGTCACAGGATAAATCTTGGTAAAAATTTTATTTGTTTTTATTCCCTTTTATGTTATAATGAATAGCCAATTGTGTCTTTTTTTTTTTTGTATTTTCTGCAACTGGTTTTTTCTTAGTACATACTTTATACACTGCCCACTTTCGGGATATTAAATCATAAAATAAAAGTGACTTCTGTGTACTTAACCTCAGGCTCATATGTCCAGAGAGATTGTTGTATTGTAGTGTCAATGTGCTCAGTCTTCATTGCCAATCTGTAAGCAATTGCACTGCGTGTTGGTTGATTGCATGCAGATTGTAAAGTAGCAGTTCTGCCGGACGGAGATCTGTGTGTGTGTGTGGTGGCCCAGCAGACCACTCTGCGGACAAACTGTTGGGTGATGGCAAGCTACCATTTTTGTGTGTCGGGTGTGTGGACAGTGGAAGAGTGATAAACACTGGGGTTCTAACTTGTAGGATAGCTGGAGGAATCCTAGAAGGTGTGCTAATTGCTAGACTGCTCCCCAACCCTTACAGTGCACCAGATTGTAAGATTCGCATCTGCCTGTGTGTGGTCCACTAGCTGGATTGGAGTCTCCTAGTGGTGGCCAGAGGTAGTGCGGCCTGTGAAAGTGCATCACGGCCAGTCTTATGCTCAAAGCCCCCCTCATTCCCTCTTTACCCCAGTCACGGACCACGCCTCGGTTAAGCTAGTCGCTGTGGATGTGCGTTGATTCATGACAATGCCTTTAATGGTTTGAGTGATGATTCATTGTCCTCCACTTCTGGTCTTGTATCAACATAATGTTGGGAAAAGACTATGCACCTTGCACCTAAACATTAATATAGCAGATGAGGAGCAATGTATTAACAGTTGGTGGCATCAGCACCAATGAAGACTGGCTGTTTATACTTCTTTTTTAAGAGTAATGACCTTGCTTTTCCCTGACAGCACCAGCGAGCACATAATGACCCTGTGGCACTGAACTACACCTTTGCTCAAGTAGTAACTGCTGGATCACATGCCTCACAACAGCTGAAGAACCTTCAGAGTCGCTGTTTGGTCCCAGGATGGTATGCTACTCACCTAGAAAGATGGCTTACGTACTACCCACCCAGTCAAGTAAGTCCAACGGTCATAATCTACTCCAACATGTATAGTGGTTTGTGCTGTACCTGTGATATGCTGCTTTGTAAATACTCTACCTGACATGAAATACTGCATCAGGTGTATCTTTTTTTTTTTTTTTCTCCAGCTTCATATAGTTGATGGTCAAGAGTTGAGGAGCAACCCAGCTGCAGCCATGGACAATGTCCAGAAGTTCTTGGGAGTGACACCACATTTCAATTACACACAGGCATTAAAGTAAGTCTTCAGATTGTTACTCTGCAAAGCATAAACCCTGTCCCAGATGTGTTTTAGCCTTGCTCTTTTAAATATGTACCCATTTCTCCTAATGAAACCTTTAAGAAAAATAATGATCTTTGTGCTCTGTAAAATAATTTTTTGATTAGTTGACAGAAAAGTTATCACCATTTTCTTTTGTTGCCATTGTTAGTATTTTCTCTGCTACTATTCTGTGTTGATACTGGTAGTAGATGCTATATCACACAGAGGAAGGGGTGTGTCTGCATTTTTTTTTCTTTTTCTCCTAGGGGAGGAGCTTGTACACCATATTGTATTGTGACCCTTAGTTAACTAATCAAAATGTTTGGAGCAAGTACAAAAAAAACGTGTTTTGGGGGGTTTTTTTTTTTTTTTTTTTTTTTTGTTTTTTTTTTGGAGGTAAGCCAAATAGGTGTCAGCTGGTGTGTATTGGTCCGTTTTGTAAATCAGCAAGAAATCTTTAAAGCCATCCTAAAAGTGCATAGTCAGTTCTTACAGTGGAAAATACATGGTGTTCTTTAGCATTTAATTTAAAAAGAACATTGCAATAGAACATTGTCTGTTTTTACTATGAAAGCCTATTAGGAGAAAAGAAAACATTTTTCCCAATATACATATATGTTGAACAGGGCTCTTTGGGTTGGCATAATCCAGTACTTTTCCTTGCAGGGGATTCAGAATGAAAAGTCTCCTTGAGAATTTGGCATCCCAGCGTTACATATATTTGTACATCATAATTATATCCTCTCATAGGTGCCTATTTTCTAATGTAAACAAATTAGTTAGCCCGCTCTTTCCTCATAATGCAGCCCTTTCATTCATTCACTCTGACTGACTTCTTCACAATGACACTTTTGTTCTGCCAGTGCTTCTACCCAAAGTAAATTGAAAGTGAGGTCTTGGCTTGGTTAACCCTTCACAGCTCGAGGTGATGATTTCCCAACATTCCTCTACCAGTCCCTGAAATGGAGACTAGCATCTCCTGATATAGTTCTAGAACACCTTAAATTCTGAAAGTTTATTTTGTCTTTTACCTGTTAAAGAAAATCTAAGCTGAGAGAAATAAGTGTGCTATTGCTAATCTCCCTCTGAAAATGCTATTTGCCTGACAATCATGCTGATCCTATAACTAAGAGCCCGTAACCTAGAACAAGCATGCAGCTTGTAGGGGGTCAGTAAATTGGAGTAGATCAGAGTAATAGCCAAGCTTTTAGCATTTTTAGAAGTAAAGGCAAGCAATGGCAACCTCATTATATTGCAGCTTACCAATTCTTAGATTTGGTGGCTGCATTAGTTTCCTTTTAGCAAGTCTGTTATTTTTTTAATTTCCTTTAACAGCCCAAGCTGTCCAGCAAAAGTGGCAGTTAGCGAGTTAAGACAAACCATTTAACGCTGACAGGGGTGCTATAATGGTCAGCTTTTATTCATGTATGTAAAACCTTTATCCCAAAAGGAAACATTCTTGCTGTAACTGCCTAAAAAGTGTTTAGCTGGAGTTCAGCTTTAAAGGATAAGTTCACCATATTCAGGGTGTAACGTGTTACAATTGGATCGGCTCCCGCACCCACCCAATCCCATATTGTGACAGCTAGCAGCGGATCTTCCCCCGCAAGCTGTCACAACCCGCTTGGCTAGTCATCCATTGACAGCGTCCTGTGAATGGGAAAACTACAAGTCCCAAAAGCCTCCGTCCGTGGCACACAGTGCTGTTCATTCATTTTTCCTGTCACTGCATCTGCCCGCCTATATGAAGTACAAACAGATACACTGAGAAATCTCAGGTCTGCTGATCATGGGTGTTATGCTTTGCAGGCTCCAAAAAAAATAACATAAATAAATGTACAATTTTTTTTGCCTGCAAAAAGATGTGCATTTGTTATTTTTTTTAAAGGTGAACTGATCCTTTAATTTGTTAATGAAGTCTGGCTAGTACATCTAACACTACGCTCTTCCCAGACTGGTAATGCTGCTGTCCAGGTGTCTGTTGATTCTTCATCCAGAGAGGAGACACCTTAAGATAGCAAGCGTATTACTAGCAAGATCACCAGGTGAAAATAAAGGGGGAAAAAACCTAATGCAGCCAACACAGTTGAGGACTATTGAGCTGCAATATATTTACATTTTTTGTTTTTGAGTTTAATATCGCTTTCATTGTTTGCAGCTCCGGTTCTCTTTAAGAAAGCTGCATACAGTGATTTAATTCTTCCTCTGCTCCCTGGCACTTGCTAGAGAAGAGTTGTCCTCTCCAGTAAAGGACATTGGTTATCAGTAAAGTGCCTATACCCTCACACAGATATCTGATGAATCCAGAATGACTAACCTCTGGTAGAAGCTTTGTACAATAATGTACAGCCAGATAAAAGAATGTATCTATGAGGACCTTCAAATCTCTTCTTTCACTTGTCGTTCTGTAACGGTAGAATCATCACTCTCTGGTGCAGCTTTTTTCAGCTTTTACATCCTTGCTAATAATATCAATAGATCACGAGACATTAGCGTAAACCCTTTTAGATCGAAGAATAAATAAAATCTGGAATAATATAACTCCCAGGGCTGCTCTAGAAGACAATATTTGTTTAGTAAATGTGTTTAAAACAAACATAATAATGGTCAGAAAAGAGACAACAGAGACAATTGTAGTGCTCCCTCCAAGTTGGTGGTAAATCAAGAGTCAGCCCTCTTTAGATAGAATAGGTCTTTCACTTTTTTTTGGGACAAAAAATGTGACCCCCCCCCCCCCCCCACATGGATGGTTAGTGCAGTAATAGAGGAGCCCCTAGTACACTGGTGGTCATGCAGCTGAGTTGGAAAAATAACCCCTTACAGGTAGCTGAAAAGATCATTGGTAACAGTGGTTGTCATCTTTGGCATTTCCCTTGTAATCCGGCTCCACTCAGAGTCCATAGTTATTGCTAAAAAGTGTCCTCAGATGATGGACGTCGCCTCCCTGAGGCTGCATTCACACTTAAGTGTAGCCAATTTGAGCATTTTTCATGCAATGTTCATGTTTTCATACAGCGTTTTTCAGGTATTTTTGAGCTTTGGCAGTTTTTTTATTAGACGAGAGAAAAATAATCATCTGTTGCGTTATTTGTTGATATGTTTTTTTTAGATTTACCATCCAATTTTATTTAGGGTTTGGGGTTAATAGTTTGTCTTACTATTTATTTTTGTTAGGGTGCTAATAATAATGCCAATAATAAATGTAAAGTAAATACAATAAACGATTAATATGTAATAATAATTAACTCCTAACCTTAACCCCCTAACCCTTAAAAAATTTAATAAATTAATATTACAGTAATGTTAAACACCCTAAGTCTATCACAAAATAAATGATTTATCTGTTTGGGTGTTTATTATTATTTTATTAATGATTATATTATATTAATATGTTATTTAACCACTTCAATACAGGGCACTTTTACCCTCTTTTTCTCCAGGCCAATTTTCAGCTTTCAGCGCTGTCACACTTTGACAATTGCGCGGTCATGCAACACTGTCAACCCAAATAAATATTCACACAACTAGAGTTTTTTTTTTTTGGTGTTATTTAATTACCACTGGGTTTTTAATTTTGTGCTAAATAGATACAAAAAGGACCGAAATTTTTGAAAAAAAAAAACCACGTTTTTCTTTATTTGCAAAATTTTATAAGAGAAACAATTATTCTACATAAATTTAGGCCAAAATGAATACTGCTACATTTCTTTGGTGAAAATAGCCAAAATCAGTGTATATCATTTAATCTGTAGGAAAGTTAAAAAGTCCAAATACTATGGTGAATATCTGGAAATCGATCAATCCTGATGTACTGATCTCATTTCTCGAGGCTCAAAAATGTCAGGACAGTACACACATTTCCCAAATTGCCACTTTTTGGAAAGTAGTCTCAGGTATTTAGTAAAAGGCATGGCAAGTTTTTTTTTTTTTTTTGTTTTTTGGGAAATAGCGAAGTTTTAAAAAAAAAAAACAGTTTTTTTTTTTTTTTTTTTTAAATACTTTCACCAGTTCAGTACAGCATCATCATATAACTGGTGTGGCAATGATCAGGGACACTGGTGACCGTATGGAAATTTTTTTTTTTTTTTTTCATTTTTCTTTTTATTACATTTTTTTTTTTTTTTCATTTTTTTTTTTTTTTAATAACACACTGTGACCAGGGCGATATAATGTTACCATAGAAACATTGTACTACTCCGGGAAAGTGATCAGTATTTTTTTTTACACATTATGATTGCTGATAGCAATGAATTTAATTGCTGTAACCAAACATTTTACTAAATGAAATCGAGTCACTCAGTTTGTTTTGTTGTGATTAGCTGTGATTGACCACAGCTAATCATATGAAAATGATGGGCTATGGTTGGCCTGAAAGTCTGTACCATCACTGTGACTATTCACAGCTAGTTCACAATTGTATTGATGGCATAAAAGGAAGCCATCCATTGTTCACAATTGTCATGAAACCTGCTGTGGGTGGTCACAGCAGTCACATGGTACCAACAGGCCGGTACACAGATCAGCTACTAACAGATCTTGCCACAGCGCAGACATCTTATCGGGGGGGGGGGGGGGGATTAATTATTTATTGCATATTCATTCTTATTTGTGTGTGTGTGTGTGTGTGTGTGTATATGTATATATATATATATATATGTATATATATATATATATATATATATTTTATATATATAATATAAAAAAAAAAATTATTTTATTTCCATTTGAGCAGAAGATCATGCATTTCCATTCATTTCTGTGGAATTAAAAATTCTCAAAATGTGCAAATCTGCCCTATTTGAGTGATAAATAAGCTCCAGAACCTAGCTTTACGTGACTTGGAATGGAGTCACAGCGTCATTCAGATTAATTGATTTTTTTTTCTCCTCAAGCATTATGGAGCTTCGAGCTACAAATCGCTCAGATGTGAATGGGGCCTTGTGGAGAAATCACTTGTAGCGTAACTAGTTTATT